CAAAAGTGTTACTTTAAGCTCTAGAATATTCCGAGGCCTCTGCACAAGTGCAGATTTAACCCATTAGTGTGAATTCACAGAGGACCACTCGAAGAACCAGAGTTACAGGTAAGTAACCGTTCTGTGTATGTGTGCATACATATGCATTTACAGTCGTGCCCCACTTTACAATTACCCTGTTTAATGACGAATCCGCTTTACGGTAAGGTTTTTATGATCGCAAAACGATGGTTTGAATGGGGTAACCCCGCTTTGCGATGATCGGTTCCTGGTTCGGGAACCGATTTTCGCTTTACGATGATCAAAACAGCTGATCGTCAGGTTTTCAAAATGGCCACCGGGAGTACAAAATGGCTCCCCGCTGTGTTTAGGAGCCATTTTTCACTTTACAGGCACCCGAAAATGGCTGCCCCTATGGAGGATCTTCGCTGGACAGTGAGTTTTCAGCCTATTGGAACACATTGAGGGGTTTTCAATGCGTTTCAATGGGGTTTTTTTAGTTTCGTCTGACGACGTTTTCACTCTACAGCGATTTCACTGGAACGAATTTACGTCATCAGGTGAGGCACCACTGTATGTATATGGCCTGTGGCTGCACAGCCAACACCACATGCTGGCCTCACGTGTTCACCTATGTTCCACAACCTTCCTAATACTTGCTTCACTGGACATACTATAGTTGGAAACCAGATTCATGCCTCCACTGTGATTGGCAAGGTACTAGTAGTCTCCTTTCCTGAGTCCTCAAAGAAACTATTGTGTTCAAAAAGAACTACAAGGGAAGTTTTGAGAGAGATATATAGTAGCAGAATATACTGTAATCACAAATTTCAGTATACAGTGATGCCTCGCTTAACGGGCGCCTTGTTTAACGACAAATCCGCATAGTGACAAAGATTTTGTGATCGCAAAAGCGATTGCATTGCGATTTTTTAGATAGGAAAAAATCGCTTTGCGGTGATCGGTACCCTGTTTCACATACCGATCATCGCATAGCAATGATTTTCCAACAGCTGATCAGCGGTTCCAAAATGGCTGCCAGGTTAAAAAAATGGCCACCCGCTGTGTTTTCGCCCAAATTCCTCGCTTACTGGGCCGCGAAAATGGCCATCGTATGGAGGATTTTCGCTTAAAGTTGGGTTTTAAGCCCATAGGAATGCATTGAAGGGGTTTCAATGCATTCCTATGGGCTTTTTAAAACCACATAGCGACGAAATTGCTTTGCAGCGATTTTTGCTGCACGGATTATCGTTGCTATGCGGGGCACCACTGTACATCAAAAGAATTAAATGAAGGCCAAGGACTCTTATCACACTATGGCTGCTTGGCATAGTAAGTTGCACCAGAGTAATCCGATTGAATCAATGAGGATTTGGTGTGCCCACTCTTCCATAAATTCCATTCATTCAAATGGTCCTACTCTGATTGTGGCTTACTTTAGTATAGTAACATGCAACTAAAGTAGGCCCACTTGAATCTATGGAACTTAAAGGAGAGTTGACTCATCAAATCCCCACTGATTCAATAGGCTTATTCTATTGTGATTTACTGCGCTAAGGAACAGGATTCCTGTAGTTGATTCAGTGGGTCTACTATAATTGTAACTTAATCTGCCAAGCAAAAGAATTTCAGAGTTCTAGTCTTGTGTATACCTATAATGAAAATATTATTTTTCTTGATATACTGTAACTCTGATCTCAGCACATTTCCTGAAAACAGTTTCAAGTATATTACAAATAGAGTAGCCTACCACTGTTAGCAGTGGACACTTTCCTCCTCATATTCATATTCAGTAACCCTACAGAGAATGGATTATGCTTCCTTTGTTGCTGCTTGTTGATATGACTTTGGTGCAAATGCTTTGGCATATTGTCTGGGAATCAAGAGAAGTGGCACCACCTCTTCTTGACTCTAAAAAAGGCTGTAAAGGTTACCTTGGTCTCTATCCATTTTCCTCTGAAAAATGCTAGTTGCCCTTCTTCCTTTAGAAAATTTGTGGTAAGCCTGGAACTGCAGTCAATCCATGGCTCCATCTAGCTCAGTATTGTCTGTTCCAGATGAGAGTAGCAATCTGAGGTCTTGGACACCTTTGCTACTTTAACTTAAATAAATTCAGGATTACACTTGCAGCTATCTACATCTGTAGCATGTGGACTCTCACCCACTCTTATTGGGAGAAAGAATGCACATTATCCTGATTTTCTGTTGATATATGCACATTTGCAATTGTTTATGCACTTTTCCAGCCATTTTAAGGTTTCTGGGTGTATATATGTGGGTAAGTAATGGGTATATACTAGTAATGGGACAAAGCTAAAAACAAACCAGGAGATTCATCCAAAATGGCTAATTCATTGGTTCAGATCATTTCAGGTTCATCCAAACTGGAGAGCATGAATTTTCCTGAACCAATTAATTTTGGAGCTATTTACGAACCTCCTGGTTTGTTCCCCTCCTCCACAGTCTGCACACTGTCCACTTCCCACTGCTCCCATTGTCTCCCTGAGTTTTCCTGCCACTGCCTTCTCTTCCTTGGCTGCCGCAGCCATCTCAAGGACCCCACCACAGGCCGGGGGCCATCAGTGCCTGTCCCTGCCTCTCTGCAGGGAGATGGGGACTTTGGCCCCTATGTATTAATTTTTAGTTATTTTTATATAGGTAATATATAAGTTTTAGTCAGCTCGGAGTTTTAGTTTTTGTCAGCTTGGAGATGGGGACATGCACAGATGGCCCCCACCCGGCTCAGGTGCTGACTAATGAAAAAAATAAATAATAATGTTTCAATTTTTTAAAGTTTGCTGTCCTATCAGCTGCATGGGGGCCATCTGTGCATGTCCCTGCCTCTCAGCTGGGAGGCCGGGACATGCACAGATGGCTGCCAGCCGGCTTAGGCTCAGAGAAACTTAATTTTTTTAAAGTTAGCCAGCCTGTCAGCCAGCCTGAGGCCATCTGCCTATGTGCCCGCTTACAACTTGAGAGGAGCTGGCATGTGCAGATGGCTTCATGCCTGCGGTGGGGCTCTTGAAATGGTGACAGCAGCCGGGGAAGAAACAGCAGGAGGAGGAAGAGGTAGTGAGACAATGGGGGCAGTGGGAAGGGAATGGGGGGCAAGTTTTTTTAGCCACAGGGCTGTCTAAAAACAACAACTCCCAAATGACCCAACAACTAATTTCATGGTTCATTCAGGAAAAATTGTAACTTTATGGTTCATGGTCCATGGACTTCCATGAAGCACGATCCAAACTCATCTCCGGTATATACTTAACAAACGAATAGATTTAGGCTGACTTGAAATAGCTAAAGTTTCCTGAAAAGGGCAATTGTTTGCAAAGGATGATTGAATGAGAAAAACCTATTATGAAAGTGAGTTTCTAAAGTATCTGTTTATCCAGAACATGGAACTTTTTGGGGCTCTGGCTCTTAAAGGCCAACATCTAGCATCACCATTAATCATGCTGGCTTCAGGATTCTGGAACTATAGTGGAAAAAAGTAAATTTGCCAAGCATTGTGTTTGTTGCATGTGTAGTTACTTCTGAATTGTATTCTGTAATATCTCTGCACCCTTTCTGCAGGCCTGCAAGCACTGCTGCCTGCATACTTGCGAGAACGTTTTGTGGTAGCCGCCCTGAGCTATATAACCTGCAATTCAGAGGGGTTACTGATCTGCCAAGAGAATGACTGTTGGTGCCAATGTGGGTCTAATTTCCCACAATGCAACTGTCCAGAGGCTGACATCCAGGCTATGGAAGAGAGCCTTCTTCAAATCCAAGAAGTTTGGGAAAGGCACAATCAACAGTTTCGGGATTCAGGTGAGTTTTGGAAATGTGAGCTTTCCAAAAGATTGACATTTGGTTAAAAAAAGACATGACTTTCTTTTATTTTAAATTAGCAAAGTGGGTTGTTTAAAATTACTTTCTGTGTGTACAGTACAAGCATACATGCCTTGCCACAGCCCCAGTCTCAAGTCTGGGTGTGAAAAAGTCAGTTCTGCATGTTTCTGGTCTGATCAGATCCTGCAGATATGACCACAACTGGCCAGCTCTAGTGTTGTCACCAATACCTCTTCTCCTGCTCCCCCACCCCTCTGCAGACTTGGAGCAATCTTCCATTGTTATAGAAGTTGTAAATTCACACCAGGCAAACCACTCATAGGGACTTTCTGTTTTTTAAAAAATCCACATGCCTGTGCATTCTGGGATTCAACATTCTGACACATGATGATTTGGAGGATGGGGAACTGTTACACCTTAATTTTAGGAAGATGAGCTACAGCTTTTTTGGAACAGATTCCCCTTGAGTGTTTTAGTTGGAGTTCACATATTTCAGTAAAAATGGAGCTAGTTTGATTATTTAGCTATTACCCCCCTCTTACTAGGTAAAATTTTATACTTTACAGTGGGTACACAGCCAGAAAGTGACCATCAGCCCCTTATATTCTACATGCACACCCCTAAAGCTTCATTAAATAATGGGGAAGATAGTTCTTTCCCAATATATTAAGTGTTGGTGACAACAGAGATTAGACTGAAGTGGTCTCCCATACTCCAGCAAGAAATACAACAAATTTTGTACAGTGGACCCTTGACTTACAGACGGCTTGACTTACAGACTTTTTGAGTTACAGACTTCTCTGGCCGCAAAATTTAGGTTTGACTTGCAGACTGAGATTTGACTTACAGACTAGAAAAAAAACAAAATGGAACAAAAACGGCCTGTTATGGGATTAATTGGTTTTCAATGCACTGTAGGTCAATGGAGACTTGACTTACAGACTTTTTGACTTGAGAACCGCCTTCCAATACGGATTAAGTACTCAAGTCAAGACCCCACTGTATTTATTATTACCATGGGCTCTAGGGGGATTTTCTTTCTGTCCTGAAGCTGTGTCTCCACTGGGCATCCTAGTGTGGGCAGTTGATGGGTTACTAGGTCATCATTAGAATTTGGGGGCTGTTCTAGATCCTTCAAATTTGCAAGCAGAGAGTCCAGGCGATTCATTGACAGCCGCACATCAGTTGGTAATTTACTAAAGGATGAGATAATATGAGTCTCTACCTCCTCTTCTGGCCAAGCAAGGCCTGGGTTGATCTTTTCTGTTACATACCCATCATCCTTATAGTTTTTAATATAATTTTTGTAGTCATTTTGCCAATCAATTGGGTGATCTTCTAAAATTTGAATAAGGTCTTCTTCTGTTTATTTCTCCTGGACATAAGCTAAGGTCTCTCTTTCCACTTCTCTAGTGTACCCACTCAAGAAAGTTAGGGGTTGTGCTTTGTTTTTAAAATATTGTACAGCAGTTATACCCCACGCAGCTAATTCCTTTCTTTTGCTATAAATCCTATTGGTTATTATGCTATCTTTGAATGTTACTATTGCACGTGCTTGGGAATAATTGTAGAATAAGTAGTCCACATTTAGAATTTGGGACGTGGAAGTTAGTTCAGGAATTATAGGTTCTAAAGTGCTGATCAAGTTCCATTTGCGTTCATTCCGGGTAAGTATCCCCTTTTGTTTTGGGTATCCACAGAATGCCAAAGTGTTAGCCATTAATCTTAACTTCCACCTAGTTCTATTCTCAGGCTGCATCAACTGGGCTGTTAGTTGATTATTTTTCTTAGGGTTACTATTTATCACGTCAGTCCATGGATCATTTCCCACTATATCTATTTTATCTTTAATGTCCTGTATAAGGGGAGTGATAGCTATTTGATCTAAATTTGTTAGGGTCTGGCCAGTATCTAACTTTTCAGAGTTCCTTTTGGATCTAGATTTTCTCTCTTTCTTTGGTTCCCTCTCAATAAGTTTAAATAGATTATGGAAATCTATCTTGTCAGATGACTTTGTGCGCTTGATATTTTTAGTCTTTTTTGTACACCCATGTGGACTCCTTACCTGTGCCCTGTTTTTAGCCGCCTTTTTAGAAGTTTTTTTCCCTTTGGACAAATGCAGTGGAAGTGGGGATGCGGTACCATAGTCAGTTTGTGTATTATTGTTTCTGGGTAAATTGCTTATTGCAGTTAAGTTGGTAAATCATGAGATTCAAAGAGGAATGATTTAATTAACTTCATCTCATCTAGGATATCTTTTACCCAGCGGAACAGTGTGCTGATATCAGACTTATCACTTGTCTTGATTATTTTTGGCGGGGGTCCTTTTTCTATTTGGGTGCCTCCTTGTGTTAATTCATAGGGGACGTGGTGGCACTGCGGGCTAAACCGCAGAAGCCTGTGCTGCAGGGTCAGAAGACCAGCAGTCGTAAGATCAAATCCACGCGAC